CTCTGCAGAGGAATTCGAAGGTGGGCGTGGGCCGTGTTTTTTTTTTAGGGAGTTTAAGGGCGGTGTTTTTTATTTTGTTTATTTTTGTTTGTTTGTGGTAATTAAGATAATTTTTTTTTTTTTTTTTTTTTGAGTTAGGGCGGTTTATTCATTTAAGTTGTTTAAGGTTTTTTTTGTTTGTGGTAAATTAAGATAATCTCTGTGTTATTTTTGTTGTTTTTTTTAGTTAGTTTTGAGGGTTATTAAAGGTTATTTTTGAGTTATTTAATTTTCTTCTATGTAGGCTGTTTAGCTTTGTTTTATGAATTTATGAAGCTATTTGAAGTCATACTTATTGTAACTATTAAATTTTAATTTGTTGTATTTAAGTTTCATCTTTAAACCCTTTGATTTAAGATACAAGATATAGTTAGATAAGTCATTTGTTTTATTGAATTTAAGCGTCCCCATGTTATTCTTCAGAGTTTTGTAATTTCGAGAAAAAAAATATTGTGAAAAAAATTTGAAAAGATACGAATTGTAAATGAGAAACAGTGGAATTAATATAATAGTTCATTCTCCAATGCAAAAATTTAGCGAAGAGTAGAATGAATTTTAGAATAATTTAAAGCTTGTGTTTATGGCAACAAGAGTAGTCAGATTAGGAATAAAGAGTAAGGAGAATGAAGAATGAAAGAGAATGAGTAGGAGTAGGGAGAAGAATGAGAATGAATGATTTCGCGATGCAAGTAAAAAAGGAATTGGTGTTTTGCATATTATATCGTCATCACCATTATGTGGTTCCGGTGATGGTGTAACATCTGCCTTTGTTATGGTGTGAGGTTATTCATTGCCATCGATTTTTTTTTTTCCTACGTTTGTAAATTTCGAGAAAAAAATCCATGTAACAGAGGTGGAAAGAGTATGAATGAAGAAAAAGAGGGAGAGGAGGAGAAAGAGGGAGAGGGAGGGAGATAGAGAGAGAGGGAGGGAGAGGAGATAGAGAGAGAGAGGGAGGGAGAATAGAGAGAGAGGAAATAGCGAGAGAGGGAGGAGATAGACAGAGAGGGAGATAGATTGAGTGAGAGAGGAGAGAGAGGGATAGAGGAAGAGAGGGGGAGAGATAGAGAGATTGAGGGAGGTAGATGGAAAGGGAGATAGAGAGAGAGGGAGATAGATAGAGAGAAGAGGAGAGGAGAGGGGGATAGATAGAGAGAGAGGGAGATAGATAGAGAGAGGGAGATAGATAGAGAGAGAGAAGAGAGAGAGGGAGAGATATGATAGAGAAGGGAGATTGATAGTAGAGAGAGGGAGAGATTAGATAGAAGAGAATAGAGGATGAGATAGAGAAGAGAGGGAGGGAGGGAGATAGATAGATAGAGAGAGAGAGAGGGAGATAGATAGAGAGGGAGAGAGGGAGACAGAGAGAGAGTAAGAGAGAGAGGGAGAGAAAGAGAGAGAGAAAAGAAAGATCGAATAAGACGGAATAATTCTGCAGCGCAAGAATTCGAGTGTAAGTAGAATAAATGTTCAATTTAGTTCAAGATCTGTGTCCGTTGCGACAGACGTAGTCAGTTTATGAATGAGTGTTAATGAGAATGAATATGATCAAGGATTATGTAATGCAAGAATTCGGAATTAAGCGGAATTTTCAAATGATTTCGGATCTGTATTCATGGCGACAAACGTAGCCATGAATGAGAATTAATGCGAACGAATATCGTAAACAAATCTCCAATACATGAAGGTAAATAGTGAATTTTTTTTTGAATGATTTAAAAGCTTGGATTCGTTGCGATACATTTCGTGAATTTTTCGAATAATTTCAAAGCTGGATTCGTTGCGATACATTTCGTCAGGTTGCGAATGAGAACTAATGAGAATGGGTGAGAGTGAATGGTGATTCCTCGATGCAAGAAAGGTGATTGATACGTTTCGGAATATATCGTTATCGGAATTATGTGGTTCCAGTGGTGTATTAACCTCTGTTCTTTTGTTATAGTGAGAAGTTCGTTATTCTCATTTTATTTTCTTTAGGTTTTATTTTATTTATTTTATTTATTTTATTTTATTTATATTTTATTTATATATTTATATATTTATATATTTATTTTTTTTATTTATATATATTTTATTTTATTTATGTTATTTTCGTTAAGTGAGTGTAAAACGCGATGTGAATATTCGGTTAAAGTAAAAAAGAAAATATAAAACATGATGTGAAGTGTAATTAAAGTATAAAGAAAAAGTAATGTTTTATTAACGAGTGAAAAATATGTTATTTGCAGGATTATTACAGAATGCGTTCCCGAAAAAAAGACTCATTAATCTGTAAGAACATCAGGACTACTTTGTTTTTTTGTGTGTATGTTTTTGAAATGAAAAAAAAACATATTTGTTCGCTGGCTTACGAGAGAATTTTGAGGTTTTACGCGTTCGAATATTCATCAATTTCAGAATTTCATTTTTAACATTTGTCACTCAAAATAAAACACAAAAGAGAAATACCCTCAGTTAAGAA